AAGGCGTTTTGCTTACAGGCGTGATAACATGTTGGGTCTGTTTTTGTACATTGTATAGAATATTTGTCACTAAAATCATTATAGGGAAATGAAAATAATTAAGTAAACACATTTTTATAATTTTTAGAATTGTCTGTCTGTCTGTCTGTTTGTTTATAAATGCATCACATCTAAAATAAACATTTTTTTTTAAAGAAATCGTTAAAAAAATCATAAAGCGTATCTTCATGTTACATTTAATTTTAGTTTTCTTGAATTTGGTTAATTCTATCGAAAGTTATGATTATTGGTTTAAAATGTAGGTTCTAATTTGTTCAATGGCGCCATAAAATCTCAGAAAAAGTAATAAAAAGATTTGTGTGTAAAAGAACGTTCAATAATAATATATTTATACTTAAAACAAAGTAAACAATAAAAAAAATATTTTAAATTAAAAAAGTTTTCTCACAACGAACGTAGTAGATGGCATTGTACAAATTACATTCTTTTCTGAATTGCGGCGTTAAGATACTCCGAATCGTATTGAGACTCACTGACGTGTTGTCACAGTCTCACAAATAACCATACATTACCCAGAACCAATGTAGATATTATATATTTTCAATTTCAATTTCAACTTAATAAATTAAATTAAATGATATATATTATGAGTTATAAATATATATGTATATATAAGTAAAATAGTCAATTTATTTTGTATCAGATTATAATGAACATACTAATATCCGAAATCACAACTTCCCACAACTCAATAGCGAACTCATATCCCAACTTCAAAGGATGCTACATGAAATAAATCCATACGTTAGGGTAGGGTTGCATTGCAATCGATCCGTCAAGATTTAATAAACAATTATAAAATAGTTATTAACGCTGACAGACGTCCTGTTACTAAAAAAAAAGTTACTGAACACCGCGGTAGCAACGTTCCTGTCACTGATGAAGTGGCAGTGGTATTAGTTGACCAGGAGTGCGATAGACGTGACATCGTGCTGCACACACATGACGATCGACTGCCAGGGATGTATGAAATGCATCGATATTATGATGCTCTACAATATCCATTAATATATTGTCACGGTGAAAATGGGTACAATTTCGGAATTTATCAAGTTAATCCTAATACCAGAGACCAATTTTAATAAAAAAATATTTGCTCTGCAATTTTATTCGCACCTGTTACATGGAAGGCATATATCTTCTTGCGTATCTGCAAAGATTTCGGGGGTTGTTTTACCAATTTATAGTGGACATGTATGCGAAAATAGAGACGGAGCGCTTAGTGTATATACGCACTAACCAGAGACGTCTGTTACACTGACGTCTAATAAGTGATATTGATACAGTAATGATATAAATCGTTTAATATTTTCTTACCTGAATGTCAAATTCTCCAAGTAAAACCTATATACGCGAGCTACGCCGCAGGCACAGCTAGTATCAAATATCCCGTATGATGCAAGCTTGGTCGCGGGCCTCTCGCTGTGTGTTACTCAGTTCGTGAGGTACCCACTTGTCAATCTTCTTAATTAAACCGATTTGCCGCAAAATAATTAATATTATTTTGACAACCTCATCAAAAGCAAAAGCCGACGCTACCTCAGCCGTAGTTTGAGACGGATCTGCTTTCAATAACGCCTTCACTTCAGTACGAATTCCTCCTTATTAACTTTTCTCTGCAGGTGAGATTGATTTTTTAAGATCAAATATCCCAATCGAAAGCGACTGAACCAATAACGCTCAGTTTGTTCGTTAGTAGTGTTGGTCCGTATATGTCATTGATATTGCATGTAGTTGTGACATTGATTCCACGCCGGAACTAGTATTAAAAAATAAGACTATTTTTTATAAATATAGCGATATTGCAGAAAAATTAAAACCCCTCAAAAAAAAAACTAAATTAATAACTGATTTTGAAAAAGGAGGACAAACAAACAAATAACTCAGAGGCAGTCATATTATTGATTTTTATATTTAATGTTACTTTGGTTTTAATGGTTTTAGTCTGGTTAATAATTTTATTTTAATATAATTCAATTTTATTTTAATTTAATTCATATGTAATTAAAATTTAATTTTCATTTCAAATGTACTACTGTAACTATAATCTGATGGATTGAAATAAATGATTATTATTGTTATTATTATTAAATAAAAAATGATTGAATTTAGAATTAAAGAGACTAAAACTCTAACTCATGAAATTTATCATGATCATCATCATTAAAGCCTAACTTTTAATTAGATATTACTCGAACAGTCGTAATTCATTGGTCTGTACATTTAATTGATGACACAAGTAGACAAACCGTTGATAAAAAGCGGGAAATCATTATATGAAGATGTGACAAATCCACTGCTGAAGATAGGCCTTCCCCAAGGAATACTATAAATCACGGTCCTGAGCCACCCGCATCGATCGACTTTCTCTTATCAGAGATCGTCACTCCATTAAGTGGGGAGCCACACTGGTCGTACACTATTGTTTTCAAGTTTTGAGCCATACCGCCTTACGTGACGAAAGGATGTGTCGTAAACTCCCGAACGCTGTCCAGCCAAATAGGATTCCTCTCCGAATTCGATCAGATCAGATAAGTTGGGCTTACTTAAGGGTATAGTATGAATTTTAGTTAAACATTTTCAACGAGAGCGCCGTACCTCGGGCGCTAAGCGCTAAAGCGATCGCCTTAAACTTTAATGGTATATTAACCTTTATAATAGTACACAAGCAGCAGCAAACCAATATTTATTTCAGTCAAACCTACTTTTGACTAATCTGCTATTATTATTGTCGTTTTGATCGGAAACTAAGATTTGACTGTTACGTTAGTGACTAATATTCGCATTGCATATCTCGAAAATAAATAATTATATACACATCGGATTGATTCAACTCTTCACCGCTGCATTGGAAGACGTTTTCAAGCTTCTGGACTGGAAAGGATACGGTATCAACATCAATGGCGAGTACATCACTCACCTTCGATTTGCCGACGATATAGTCCTTATGGCAGAATCGCTGGAGGACCTAAGCACTATGCTGACTGACTGACCTCAATAGTGTTTCCCAACGGATAGGTCTTAAGATGAACATGGACAAAACTAAGATCATGTTTAATGTCCATGTCACACCTATGCCGGTAGTTGTTGGGAACACTAAGCTTGAAGTTGTTGACGAGTATGTTTACCTGGGACAAATAGTCCGACTGGGTAAGTCCAACTTCGACCGAGAGGTCAATCGACGGATTCAACTCGGCTGGGCAGCGTTCGGGAAGCTACGACACATCTTCTTGTCAGACATACCTCAAAACCTTAAAACGAAATTGTACAACCAGTGCGTGTTGCCAGTGATGACTTACGGAACTGAGACGTGGTCCTTCACTGCTGGCCGTATGAGGAAGCTCAAGGTCGCTCAGCGAGCTATGGAGAGGGCTATGCTCGGAGTTTCTCTGCGTGATAAACTTAGGAATGAGGATATCCGCAGTAGTGACCAGAGTGACCGACATAGCCCAACGGATTAGTAAGCTGAAGTGGCAGTGGGCCGGCCATATAGCTCGAAGAACCGACAACCGATGGGGAAGAAAGGTTCTCGAGTGGCAGCCTCGTACCGGTAGGCGAAGTGTAGGGCGTCCCCCCACGAGATGGAGTGACGACCTGGTAAGACATGCAGGAAGTCGATGGATGCAGGTGGCTCAGGACCGTGTTTTGTGGCATTCTTTGGGGGAGGCCTATGTTCAGCAGTGGACTTGTGAAGGGCTGTAATGATGATGATGATGATGATGATAGTTATGTAATTAGAACCTGTTTATATTTTTATCAAAATCGTCCTAGCATTATGTTGTTATGAAATATATGAAAAAATGGCAAGCTAACCGAATTTGACAGTAAAATTCATTAGCTGTACTCATTTATTTACTCATGCAGGCTCTGAATATAGTCAAGCACTTTAAAATGTAAAAATTGATGGTATCTTATTATTATATCTCATCGGTAGATATTATTATATCCAGCCTATAAAGAATGCACATATCCAGATTTCCTATTTTTTGTAAAGAATTGAAAACTGTTATGAAAAGTTACGTTTTTAGTTAAATAAATAAATAATAACAAAAACACATGTTTTATTTATAATGTATTTAATTCTAAGTACGTTCATAAAGTTGCAATGTAACTACTTTATGAAAGTTACAGTCCTAAAGTTACGCGATGTGAAATACACAAATATAAGAATAAAGATGTTTTTTTTTGTAAAATCGTTAATCACAGTATATAATAACATATAGCGTGGAATGAAGTATTCATTTTATATTTTAATATAAATAAATAAAAAATCAAGGCAACCCTGATTTTGCAAAGAAAACAAATATTTTTGTTAATTATATTCGAACAATAAATTTCAAAGCTCCCATGGAGTTTGAAGGCACAATAGTATTACAAGAAGAGATTATAATATTAATAATTGTACTGTAATAATAAAACCTAAATCAAAAATATTTGTAGGTATGCTATGAAAATTGGCACGAATTTAAAATTAATGTTACTGCTCAGAAAACTATTGAACATATGTTATTTCTAAAAAAATGCTGGCCTACTTAAAAAAACTAACAGTACATAAGTTATAAAATTACTATAACGACTTACGATTATGTCAATATTAAAAATGTATTACAAAAATAAATTTCAAATATGGAATGAATTAAACATTTGGAATGACAGAACATACATAAATAACTTAGAATAATAATTACTCTAAGATTAATAATTTTGAAATAAGACCAATAAATAGAGATTCGAGTGACTTAACATTATTGGTTCTTTTATAATATTTTACCCTTGTTTTTATTGACTTTATTACTTAACCAAATAAGTACAGAGCTATGTATGTTGAAATGCTAAGAATCATTTAACGGACTAACAATAGTTCGTTTAAAATAAATTTACGTTTGTTTCAATGTAAGCACGTTCGTAAATTAATTATTAAGTGGATTTTAAATGCAGGTTTACATGTGTCGCGTGTTGCCGAAATTGATCCCGCTTTGGTTGGCGCCTTTGTTAGAGCCATATTGGAGTGAAATGACACCTTGTCCTGCTCTGAGTTGCTCCTCGGTGAAATTACGTACATTTTTCTCAGCCTCTTTTGGTCCTATTGACGGCTTACCGTAGTTATGGGCCTGGAAAGAAGCAAAAAATAAGATTATTAAAAGAAAAATTGAAGTTATGGTCTTTAATTAGACTATCTCATAGAATTGAATACAAACGTCGCGTGGGCTATGGGCTAAAATGTAAATTTACAATTTCAATTTCATAGTTTTAATAGTGCATTACCTACTAATTTTATGAGAACATTTTTAACTATATATTTTTATGGTTATAAGTACTTCAAGTTTCATTCGCATATAAATTTGGAAAAGAAATTCCAACCCTAATAATTTATTTCTTAGCATTCTTCTATTTCAAGTCGATTTTTACTTTCTGTTAAAAGTTATATTTATCTATTTTATCAAATGTTAAGATTTGAATGTAATTTACTAAACAAACGTAATAACGTAGAGCACAGAACACAATTACTCTCAGTGACGTAGTGAAAGTTGACAAATAATTTGGCGCGAAACGAAATTAATTATGGTCGTTGATTTAACGAACTAATTAAATAATCAGTTTTCTAATCGTATATCAACCAATAAATTGTTTCCCTCATCTGAATCAAATATTTTACAAAAATCTACAAAACAAGATTCTTTGACAAGTGGTAAAATTAAAAATTTTGTACAACCGAAATGAATATAAGTTATTAAGGATAACTCAAAAACTATTGTTCAGACCTTGATCAAATTTATATAGGACCCCATGAAAAGCACCAGCTTTCAAATAAAAAAAGAATCATCAAAATCGGTTTATCTAGAAAAAAGTTATGAGGTAATACAAAAATAATATAGTCGAATTGAGTAGGTACCTCCTCCTTTTTGAAGTGAGTTAAAAATAGAAAGCGAAATCCCTTGCGAGAACTTTCATCATAGGCAGTGTAATATAAAGTGATACAAGATATCTCCTTCGATCTTTGTAATCGATCGAACAGCAAGTTGACGAAATCGGCTACTTATCCAATTAGTCGACGTTCCATAAGTTTTATTAAAGCTGAAATTATTCACGACATCACTAGCCGGCATATGACAGTGAATTATCGTACAGAGCAACGTACATTAAGAACTTTGTCATTGGAAAACAACCTTTAAGCCTTACAATGTCAATAGAAATTGCGTAAAAGGTGTATTGCTGTAATACGTTCGATCACAATGAATTACATAAACACAAACATATGAATACTAATCTTATTACTATCTGATGATGCTATTTACTCTGTCGTTGCAAGATACAAACATATACCTATTTTATCATCATCATTACAGCCTTTCACAAGTCCACTGCTGAACATAGGCCTCCCCCAAGAAATGCCACAAAGCACGGTCCTACGCCACCTGCATCCATCGACTTCCTGCATGTCTTATGCACCTATACTAGATTTATACTTTATATCGACAAGTCAATTTTCGATTGAAAGTGACTGTAGTCCGTGACTTTTCTACCGATTTCAAAAAGCAGGAGGTACTCAATTCGACTGTACATGTACTTTTATTATGTGTTACCTGATAATTTTTTCTGCGTGAACCGATTTCGATTATTATTTTTTTATTTGAAAGCTGGTGCTTCTCGTGTGGTCCGACATAAATTTGATCAAGATGTGACCAATATTTTGTTAGTTATTCTTAATAATATATATTGAAGTCGGTTGTACAAAATTTTAAATTACGTGTATGTATTCTTGTAAACACCCTAAATTAGTAGGTATTTAAGTCTTAATATACACTTGTAAGTCCCCTGGCTACTGATATAATATTAAAATTGACATTTAAAAATATTAATATATACGTTTATTTTTGTAAACAAAACTGTAAATTGTCATTAAAAATATTTCCAAGAAGAGCCCAGAGTTTCATGCCAGTTTTCTTGTTTTCCGAAGCAGTGTAGATTTTGACGATTATAAAGAGTAATAAAAAACAAGCCAAAATCGAATAAAAAAATTTGAATTTAAATTTGAAAGGTTTCCAAACAAGAAATTTAGATTAGAGACTGTGCTTCCCGTCGCTGCTTTGGATATTTTACGCCTGGCGCAAACGAGATGGTAATACCGCCATTTATCCGAAGCCATAAGATCTTTTATATCATTCCTTTAGGCATATCCTTTCAATGGGAAAAGCCTATGTGCAGCAGTAAATTTTTATGGGCTGAAGATGACGAAGAAGGCGTGATGGTAGAGCCACGTTTCAGTCTATATATATTATGGCTGCAGCATGAATAGCTCAGCTCGCCCTTGGAAGTTCCATGCAGAATACTAGCGTATATTATAGCAGCATAATTCTACTACTGCTAGATAGTAGGATTTCTTTTCTGCCTGGGTGTTCATCAGCTACTGCCATCTTTCGTATCTTTTGCTTTCGTGCTTGCACTGTTGTGTTGCGGTCTGTATAGGGAGCCAATATAATCACAAACTGTGAAGCATTCTATCTTAGTTCTCTGAGGTGACAACGCATCTGAAGCTAACTTTGTACGAAATTGGCTGCAGGTGTTCATGGGCTGCAGTAGCTACTTTTCATCAGGTGGACTGTAAAGTTCATTTGTCACTTTATTTTATAAAAAAAAAACTGTCCCCCGTGACCACGGGTGCTGGAAAGCACCCGAAACGTCGGGAATATAAAAATAACTTAATATACGCGATAAAATCCGTAAAATCAGTTTTATTTAAAAAAGAAACTGTGTTTCATTCGGTGAATGACGAGAACTGGTGACCACTTTCACTGGTAAAGGACTTTTTCTACCGACATCAAAAAGGAGGAACTGAATTCAACTGTATGTTTTTTTTTCTTATGTGTGCTACCTCATAACTTTTTTCTGGGTGAACCGATTTCAATGATTCTTTTTTTTTATTTGAAAGCTGGTGTTTCTCAAGTGGTCACATATAAAAGGTCTGAATAATAGTTTTTGAGTTATTCTTAATAATTTATATTGAAGAATTGAAGTCGATAACACAAAATTTTAAATTATTGTTCTATGATGTATAACCTAACGGACTATAACTGTATAATATGTTAAAGCCTCCGCTATGGATTGTGGTATCGTGTCTCCATTTTGTGGGTCCCGAACACTAACAAAACTAATTAGACGTATTTTATCGCGTTTAATTATAACTTTGTTTTTACTCCTGATATTTCGTACGCTTGACAGAACCCATGATCACGGGGGGGGGGGGGGGGGGAACACACATGGGTGGCCGAAACGTAGGGTATTAAAAAAAGTTAAAATATAAAAATTACGTGTCACATTGTTTGTCCGCGATGGATTCCTAAACTACTGAACCGATTTCAATGAAATTTGCACACTCTGTGCAGTTTTGTCCAACTTGAGAGATAGGATAGTTTTTATCCTGATAAGTGACACTCAATATTTTTTTATTACGAATTTAAGCATTTTTTATATGAAGGGTCGTCGGAAAGGGCAGATCAACGTCAGCCTGACGAGCTAGTATTAATATAAGAAATCATCATATTTTTTTGACTGGCACTACTTACTATGTCAGACTTGAGGAGCATGCAATGGAATGCTTATTCCATTTAGTCCTAGGTGGTAAAAACGTGCATTTGGCCTTTCCATATACCCCTATAGGCCACAGTATCCATTAACTATTAGGGGAACTGTGTGCTGTGCGCTCGTTATCACGTCATCTTTACTTGTATAATAAACAACTTATTTTTTGCAGTTTATTTTACCTTTCTCCCGAGCGACTGCAAACAAATAACCACCGAGTTCAGGTTCTGTCGCTCCCAAAGGTCGACCGTCTGGAATGTTTCCTGCGCCGGTACGCCGAACTGGCGCGCCGCTTCCAGGAACGCGTTGATGTTCTCCATACATTTGAACGCCATCTTCGATTCGTTCACCTTCTTCACCATTCCTGGTTTGATGTTGTTCACAAGCCTGAAAATAAAAATAATCACATTCACCATTATATTCCAATAGTTGGCACACGAGTCAAAATATTGACTCGCTTGTCAACGATGGCACGCGTGCCATTGATTTGCTATCTCTGCATCTTTACACTACTCATCCATACACATACTCGCCATCTCTACACGACCTAGAGTAATATTTGTGTAGCATGTTATGACCCTGATTTAGTGATACCAACACCCTTTCAGTTTTTTAAGTGGGAAAGAGCCATCTAAACAAACTACTTTACTAATGATTGTAACAAAAAAATATTTACTTAAATTACGAAATCAAGTTTATCAATGAAAAACTCGCCAGGAAAAATCGTATTAAAGAACAATATAATAACAAAGTAGCTATGTTGTTTCATGTTCGTGCGGACTAAGTGCTGCACAATAAATGACCGTGCCCATGCAAAGACACACCCCTATCCGCACCCTTTAGTCTAATGCAAAGTGAAGGCCTATAAAAGTTCCATTAAAAAAAAGCCTGCGAGGAAACACAAGCAACATTCGTATATTATAATATCTAAGTACTCAAGTGACTTAACTCTCTATGCAAGTTTAAATTTTTATTCTTCTTTACGAATCTTATGAATATACTTGTGAGTGCAATGCCTTTACATAATCATCACCTCGAAAAGTCCACTTTTGGACTGGCTCTGCCGTTAAACAGAGAATTTACCGTAATCTTCATGCTTGACAAGCGGAAAGACGTTCGCAGTACCAGAGGTCTCGTTGCCTTTTTCAACCGACTTCAAAAAGGAGGAGGTACTCAATTCGATTGTATGTTTTTTTGTGTGTTACCTCATAACTTTTTTCTAGGTGAACCGATTTCGATGATTCTTTTTTATTTAAAAGCTGGTGCTTCTAATGTGGTTCCATATAATTTTAATCAAAGTCTGATCGGTAGTTTTTGAGTTATCCTTAATAATTTATATTGAAGTCGGTTGTACAAAATTTTTAATTTTGACCACTTGTGTCATTTTAAATTTATAACTTTATTTTTATAGGATAAAGGTGTCAGTAGTTATGTACTTACTGTGGGCAATAGACATCTACATCTATTTTTTGCGAATCAAAATGCAGATGCGTTGTCAGCCATGAGGACTAAGATGGAATGCCTCTTTTCAAGTAAAAAAGGTCTCCGGTTCTCTACACTCACCACACGAAATACAACAGCATTAAGCTGCTATTTTACGCTGGTTTTCTACGAGAGTGTGTTCTTTCCCCGGTCGAGCCGACCCATTCGTGCTACAACTATACAATAATATAGCTGCAGCATGGCTCTACCACCTATAAAATACTTTTATACTGTTGCTCGTTACCGGTTTCGATATTTTACATCTTGCGTAATCGAGATGGCCATACCGTCTTTTGGTGTTCACCGGTCTCCAAAATCCAAAAGCGTATGATGCAATTACCGCCAAAAACCAAACATAAGATAAGGTTGTTTTTGTTTGTAGATTCTTTGTACGTCAATTGATGCATTTATCAAATGTGCAGATAGATGACTGTAACGGAGAAACTAGGTATCTACAGTGCCGTGTGTTTACGGTGTAAGTCTTATTATGTGGCAAGCGTTATGATTTCGGCAAATTCTTTCTATAATATGAAAGGACCATGTCCATGGCTTGTAAGGGTTGTTAAAGAAGAGAGAAGAAGGTGTGAGATGTTTGTTAATGCTGTCGTGGTTTGTATTAATAAATGTGGTCATTAAGTTAAAAATCCTGGACATACGCTTTTTCCAAGCTGCGAGTAGTTATGACGACAAAATTGTGTAGTCGAACAAAAATAACACTGACTTGCACAAAAGGGTGCCGTCCTTGAGCACTTCGAAGAAGTTGTCCATGTCCCCCGATGTGTTTTCGGGCTCGCCGGTGATCTGTCTGATCCACTCCAGGCATTCTTCAGCCAACTCCTCGCTGTATTTGCTGTTGATCTGTAAGGTTGAGATGATATTAAATGCTAGATACTTAAATTTGTACGACTTAATTTAAAAACTAATTTATATTTAGTCTGAAGCTTAAACTATACTTAATCTATATCACGGAAATTTGCGAAATACAAATGTAATGTATGAAATCTTCATAGAATATATATATACTGGAGTAGGAATTTTACCGCAAATGTCAAATTTCGCAAAAACTGTAGCTCCGCGGCTAAGCGCCTTCTGGAGTTAGAAAGACTATTCCAAGCCATAGCCTGAGATTCAATAGACCATGTTTTGTAACAAGGCGGATAAAATGGATGTGTAGTAGACTTATTTCTAACCGATTTCCGAATAAGATCGCGACGCTAGTCAAAATTAGTCCGAACGTTTCATGATGCTTGTTCGGAACGCATTTGGGGAGAAAAGCTTTTACCATGTTTAGCTTTGACCAAAGCCTTCATTGTTGAGGCGTATTTGGAGCGCAGCAAGTTAAATTTAAAAATAATATGCATTTAAACTTGGTCAGAAATAGTAACTTCATATAAAAAATATAATAATTATAACTGATTCAACTCATGTTAGAAAATTTAAATGGTGTGATGGTATATCAGAATACCGTATATGACCCGGTGGGTGTCTTAAAAGTCAACAGAGTAACACAAAAAAGGTAAAAACAAGTAACCGACAGTATTACCATCGAAAATAGAGAACATCGCCAAATGTAGCCACAGTAATATGAACCATAGGACCACACCAGGCGTCAAGCATGACGAACACGAAATCTTTAAAGTTGAGTGCGCTTTGTGTAATCATATACATTTAGCTTTTTTTTTGTTTTCACAGATAATGATCTTAAGATAATCAGAATAACATTAACGTACGTAATATGCTAGAAAATTAACAAATTAGAAAAGACACAGTTCGACGCATTTGAGGTGTATATTTACAGGTTGTAAATTAACATAAAATATGAGTTATGAGACTATGTAACGAGTTCCTAAATTAAGACGAAGCCTACGGTTGGACATAAGGCTCTCCCACAGTCCACTTAGCGTGATCCTATATCTAGCAGCGTATTGCTGCAGGTCGATGATGAAGACGAAGCCCCAGAGCTATTTGTCAGAATGTATTGTAGCTGGAAATATATACTTTTCAGACAAAATAAATTTAACGTGTATTTTTAAGTACAAGTTTAAAGTAGTATGTTATTTCGACAATTCAAAATGGCTGGATATTATTTTCTCGAACTCTTGTCTAAGATTAAGGTTAATAGTTTCCAAATGCCCGAAGAATGGGAGTATTTTATTGTACAAAACTAATAGATGCGCAGTAGTACAATAGTACCTACTAGTAGTTTTATACGTGGTAGAGTCATGCTGTTATATTTTGGTTATAAAACGAATGGATCGGTTCGACCGAGTAAGGATCACGCTCTCACAGAATACCAGCTTAAAATAGCAGATTAATGCTGCTGTGTTTCGTATGGTGAGTGTAGAGAACCGGAGATTTTTTTTACCGGAAACGCGACATTCCATCTTAGTCCTCAGGAGTACCAACGCATCTGTATTTTAATTCTTAAACGAAGATAGATGTAGAAGTCCATGGGCCACAAAATCCACTTACCATCAGGTGGACTGTTTGCTCGTTTGTCACCCTTATTCTATAAAAAAAGTACATACAAGAAAGCAGCAAACGCCCAACCAGACCACTCTCTATTTCTAAGTCTAATATTATAATAATATATTAATACTAGCTGACCAGGCAGACGTAGTTCTGCCCTTTTCGATGACCGTTTGATTTCCTAAAAAAACTCCTGAAATTAGCAATAAAAAAATTGAGGGTCACTTATCGGGATAAAAACTATCCTATCTCTCAAGTTGGACCAATCTGCACACAGTGTGCAAAATTTCATTGAAATCAGTTCAGTAGTTTACGAGTTCATCGCGCACAAACAATGTGACACATAATTTTTATATATAAAAATTATGTTAACCATCAAGGAAAATATTAGGGTGCCTAAAGTACCGACTCGAAACTCATTACCCCAGTGCTCGAACCATAGGGACCTAAAGGCATTATTTATGATGAAAGTTTCTAATAGGAGTACACTTGGCTACAAAATATAAAATAATACAGAGTCATAAGACCTGATTACATTTTCTATGTACTTCACTTATTTAAATTAAATAATTTTGACATTCGATAAGTATGCTGAGACACAAATGTCTTCCATCAACTTAAACGAAAAGGGTGCGGTTTGTTCGTATTACCACACAATAAATAATAGGTATTAACATAGTATTATAAGAAGCGGATAATACGGCTATCATAGCCAATGTCAAGGAGACCGGAAGACGCGTTAAGTGCTCATCGGCTTTGTGAAGGTCGAACTAGCCGCATTTCTAGCGAATTTTTTGCAATGTCCCAGGGAAATTATAAAAACTCAATACATGACTTTTTACAGCTGTTGGTAACTTACGTTCTAAGTGTCTTACGTTCCATCCATCCAGTCATTACAGCCTATTAAGAGGAAATGCGGGTGGTCGTTTCTCCATACAAACGCTCTCGCCTGTTTTCTTTCTCGTTTACGACCTTATAGCAATGAGTTTTTACAGTAAAATAAATATCAACCTCTTCTATGTCCCTATGTTTTCGTTTTTGATGATACATTATCTTTAAAAGCACTAGAATCCTTACAAAATGCTCTAAAAAAGCTATTTAGACCGCTGTCAACAGACACCTAGAGTTCAAATTTGATTACTAATATACTGAAAAAAAAACCATAGGGACACAGTGTATATCCTTCTTATTTAGTTTAAAACTAAACTGTTCTAATATTGGAGGAGTTTGAATTATGCCTCTTTACTTAGGCTATTCAGTCAGATCTGCAGTTGCCCGAGTGCTCGCAGAGCGACAATGTTAGCTTCTTCAAATACCTACATAATTTTCAAGTCTCTCGACCCGCATTTCCTCTTAAAGTCCACTGCTGAACATAGACCTCTCCGAAAGATTTCCTCTTAGGAGGTATTATGCCATAGTTGCCACGCTTATAGTAAGCGGGTTGGCAACCGCATTTTTTATAATTTTGTGACGTTATCAGGAAAATGCCGCTGCCCATCTCAGGGGTGTTACGTTACTTATTTTGAAATAATGCAAATAACACTTTACGCATAAAAGCTATAGTTTATTATATTTTTAAGAATATTGTTGGCTAGAAAAGGTACCTACTTTACAATAATTAAATTAGCAATACAAATTCTATACTCGCATTACACGTCGTTACGCGCAACTCAAGGTCGCGCTGATAAGGCAAGGGCGAATAGGCAGTTTTATATTATGCGCCGAGAAAAACATTTGCCCGCTGACTTGGGTACTGTATTGATGCAAGTGTGAGGGGGAATATAAACTTTCCTACGCGCCAAACTGACTGCCTCGTTAATCATCGACCGTTAGTCTTGTGGTCCCGGGGTACTATTATTTATTCTGTGTCCCGGGTTCACATTTCGTGTGGCTCAAAATCAGTTATTGTTTTTCTTTTGGTATTTGAGTCAAGAATACTTAGTAGCAGCTATTATTTATTCTGTGGTAGCATATCAGAGTCATACAGTTGGCGGTGTTTTATCCCTGTGCTTCGGATAGCACGTAAAGCCGCTAATTAAGAAAGAGTAAATAATAGAGTTATTCTTATAAAACGAGCGTAACAATTTTTTTCGTGAAATTATGTTTTTGTTTGAGAAAAAAAAATGTTGCGGTCATTCATTAGCCTACTCAGTTATGATGGACGCTGTGACAACTATACAGATAAATATCTCGAGTCGTCAGCGTACAGAGACATCCCCGACGTAGCTGGGTTATAAAATATAAAAAAAAAACCCTCAATTAAGGTAATTATGGTGGCAGGTGAACACGGCGTGTGACGTGTGACGATCTTTTCTACTTCTTTTAGTTTTATCTTTAAGGGTTCCTTAGTTAGGCGAACCTTCATTATTTTGTGTAACTATTTTAGTTACCTACTTACCTCTGTAGATTGTACGAGTAAGTTAAAAAAAATGAATAAGTTATTTTAATATGGAAAGCTAAGTTTAATTTCTTAGACATTGCACTTACCTAAAAAAAATATTGCGATATCTTCATTTAATATAAAGTTATTACAGTTTTAAGAAACAACGATTTTTATAAGCACTATGTGTTCAGTGATGTGTGTAACAAGCAACGCGGGCGAAGTTGCGGGTATCAGCTAGTAGTTCATTATAAAATGATTGTTTTGTTTCAGGACCCACGTCCAATGCTTGTGGATATGTAACTAAAATTTACTTATGGTCAATAAAAAATGGAGGAAGAATTTTACATTACAATCAATTATAGATCCGGTCATTATATTAAAAAGATAACGCTAGTAGCTATTCTGTCATTTTGCTGCAATGTTATGTTTGTCTACATCGATCACTAATAAAAAACTTGTCTATGATAATTTTAACCTATGTTTGAGGACACACTCGTGCACTATAATCTTGTTCTGCGCGGATGTGTACTCTCCGGTGAGACTGGCCTCTGTGAGCGAAATTCTGTTTGCGAACGAGACTCTGTCGATGGACGTATGGCGAAGGATGAAGAGGAGACAGGAATTTGGCGGTGTTTCACCCCTATGCCTCGGAAAGCATGTCTGATGGTATCATCTGCGCGTGATCTCACTCCGTTCGTGTCGAACTGCCGATGCCATCCCACTTTGTTTTGTTTTTGTACCATAGGTTTAAAGAAATAATTTTAAAAACTATATGTAGGTACAACTACTTTTCCGTTATGACGCTTCTCTCACCTGATAAGTCTTTTAGCAGATATTCTATCCATACAAATAAATAAAATTGAAGTGACTGTTTGTAATGTCAAAATAACAGCTTTTTACTAATTGCATATGAAAGTATATACGTTACTTATAACAAAGACATAATTCTGTCTGTCTGTCTGTTTGTTCCGGCTAATCTCCGAAACGGCTGGACCGATTTTGACGG